TTCCCCTCTCTGATACAACACTTCTTCTCCCAAATCGGTCCTTGGGCCCCTCACCACCAAACTCTTATCCCACTTTTCATAAAAGCATTCCCCCAATTATACAAAGTTTCACGGCCCTCATTCCCAAAAAAACAAGGCTGCCATCAATACGCTGAGCTCGTGGGCATAGGCCGCACTTGAGTCAGGAAAACGGATGAAAACTCCCCGCGCTCAACTTCGAAAACATCTTTCTTAAAAAGGACACGGTCAAGTACTATCCCCTCTCCGTCCTCCGTACTCCCCGCAAAGCTATCAACCGCTCAGCCAAGAACAGGCTTCGCGCCTCGTCAGTAGCTCGCGTGTTGGGTGCACATAACCGAAAACGTCCTGCCACCAATGTCCGTACTGATATCGCATTATTGCCAGTCATTGTACATGGCGCATTATTCGATCCCCCCTTCACTATGTACGAGCTGCAAACCATTTGTACACATCCTAAGCTCGCTGTAACCACATCTCTCAATCGCAAAAATCTAATTCGAGCTACCGGTTGTTACCGCTGACTGCTCACCAAATCTTGTACAGAGCCCGTCTTTATTCAAACACACCTCATATTATTCAATTACAGTACTCAGTGCTTTCTCTAACCAGCTCATTACAAAGAACAGCACAGTCTCGCACCAGCGTTTATTGCGGCTGCACGGCAACCCCGGCTATAATACTTGCAAAATACACCCGCTCTTGAAGTTCCGCCGCTCGAGTAATGGGAGGTTGTAGCCGAAATTCTAAAGCCAGTTTTACGTCAGATATATAAAAACGAGGAATACGGCACTTTGCCGTTGGGGAAACTAAATTGGATTCTGATAGTGCAGATGTAGGTTTGGCATTACCAAAACTGATTCGACTATTATTTGATTATTTCAGGTTGGTACGCAGTCAAAACCAGTAGACTTGAAAGAATGGTTCGGACAAATTCAGATGTCAGACCGAGCGTCATTGCTCAGTAAAAAACTACAGAAATATGCTCAGAAGCGAGGTTTACGATTCTTTCACTCACTCCTTGTATTTTTTTTCCTCGAAATTTACCGCTCATACTTACATCATTGCGTCCATAACTCTTTCAGTTTCATCTGTGATTCTGTTTTTTTCTATAACAAGGCTAACCAGATATTTCCTCAATCACAGCAGTGATAATGATCACAGTGATTACTGTATTAGCCTCTGAAAATGATGCGAAATTTCAGATACCTTTTCCTTGTTTGTTTTTCTTGGAGACGGAGTTTCAGGCTCTTGAAGCTTCATCTTTCACGAAGTCTCCAAAGGAGACTTTCATCGCTTGAGAGCGCGCACGATTCTAGCGATACGATTGCAAAGTAGGAACACGGCTTAAATAGAGAATTAAGAAAAAGAAAACGATAGATGAAGAGGAGCGCTAACACCATACGGTATAGATTCCAGAAGGCTACTACAGTAATCGCTTATGATTTGCCGGCTTTATTCCAATACGGTGGGGGCATTTTGGCACAGGTTTGTCGTGAAAAAATGCCCCATTAGCAATGATAGCCAATCCTTCTTTGCTTCATTTTTTTCGTGTCCATACTGCTGCACCCTTTTGCACCCTTTTATTTTCCCCTGTGCGACATCACTGTCGTCATCTTATGTTGGCTCAAAAGCTAACGCATTGTTTATTACAGAGCTTACTAATAGTAACAACATTGATCATGAGCAAAACTAGCGCTGAGGCTTACCAACGCGTAACATTGTGTTTGGTTATATTTCTCTTTTTATACACTATATTTTTGGCATATTTGAAATATGCGCTTAATCTAGAGGCTTCTTGGGAGCTGTTCCGTTACGGGGTGATGTGGTGGGATTTGTGAGTCACTAAATATGCAAGGCAATTTTGTGGGATCCTGTAAACCTATAAAATTGCAGGGTTTAATTTTCTTCGCAACAAATGCTCCAATATGCCGAGTTAGCAGAGTACCTAAAACATGCAGGACGAGGAGCGGCAAACATTTTACATTTCGGCTTGGAGGGTTCTCTAGATGGTACCTGGCGAAGTTTGTTCTGACCATTCTGTTAAGACCAACCAGTTTAATTGGTAGAACTGCAAGTGGTTCGGTCTCATTGTTTAGCTTTTGAGGGAGTTGCACAGGTCTCACTGAAAAAAGTGAAGTGTAACCTGTTGATTAACATGGACTAGCAAAAGGAACTAAGAAGTGCAATATGCCCCTCCTCGAACTGGACAACACTCACTTTTTAATGTCAATGTTCAGGGGAAATTGAGTTTCTGACAGTTTGAAATGGAGTGTCCTTTACACAAAAATGTTGTTTCACCTATTAGAGGAGCTGTTTTAGCTCAAGGCTTATTGTGAAAGCCTTTCATTACTGTGGCTCTTGATAGGTGTTCTCATTGCTTTTACGCCAAGTTTACTGTATTGTTATATAACGATGAAAACTAGGGAATCTTAACGAACTAGCACCAACTGTATCTTTTCTACCGAACGAATTTTTTTGATCATCTTTTATTTTACCTCTTATTTCTACCATTTATTCCGACCGAGGTGTCAACAAATAGCCAACATGCGTAGTCGCTTTTTTGGTACTTAACAGAGGCGCCATTCTTCGTAGACAGATGCGGCTGTGTGCCGTTGCGAACTTTGCGGAGCTACAGTAACCTCGCACCTAGTTCCATTATTCGTTGGGGACGTAGCACCTTATTGAGTTTTGGTGGATTATATTAAAGTGTCACATCTATGAGTATCTTTTAGTCCTAGACTCTTCCTGTGCAGTAGCCTCGTGGGCATTTTCGAGGAAGGAAGCGATATCATCGACCGAAAACCTCTAATTTACATACGCATAAAGTACTCCCATGGTTTCTCCAAATTCGCGTAATTCACATACGCACAAACGCATTACGAAGTAAAAAAATAAGGGAAGCAAGTAAAATCTTAGTGAACTAAAAAAAATAAACTAATTCTTCCAAGCATAACAGTGGTCCCTCTACAGAGGTCCCCTTGAAAAAAGTTACATAAAATGTAGTAAACCATAGAGTTATGAGTGAGTATCACATTGCACGTATTCCCAACCGAGAGGATGCTGCCCGACGGTTTTTTTCTCCACGGCCGTCCAATATTGTTTGGCGGAGCGTGGCAAACTCCGATTTATAGATAAGCGCACGTTCGCTTCTCGGCCGAAATCATAAAAGCCTGGCACTCGCCAAATCGCTGGTCTAGGAAGTGAGTCGAGCAGAACGGTAGTAAAAAACCACAGTAACTTTACAGGACATGTTTACCGTTCCCAAGAAGAGATACACCGTTTCCGTGTGATGGTGACCAGTCCCCTCGGCAGACTTGCAGGGCTTCTCATTGTTTGCGCCCCTGACTTTCGTAACTCGAAAATTTTTGTCGAGGTTATGTCATTTGCTGTATCATGAAGAGCTCTCTTATTCCAGTCTGCTCCACAAAAATAAGCAGCTGCAATCAAACATGGACTATGGCGCAATCGCAGTATGTACACGTATTATCACATAACCGCTATCTTTTCACATATATTAACAGAATAACACATAGAGTCCGCTATCGTAAATCGTTGGCCCTCTGTGCTTTGACCTGTTGGGGAATGGTGACGAAGGGGAAGCTATCTGAAAATCTGTATCCCCCTCCGCTCGAATATAGACGCATCTTCCACGAAGTCTCTCCTCGACATTGAATAAAACTGGGCGTAAGGTTACTTGTAGCGCCGCAGCCAAATGTAGCGCATGGCACAGCAGCCGCATCTGTACGAAAGAATGGGCCTGCTTAACAAGATGGTTAAGAAAATACGCAATTGCCTACGTCAGTTTGTTGGCGGTTTACGAACGCCTTCCACCCCTCCACCCCCCTTGCGACTAGCGACGCGTTACTTTATTGGTCTAGCTGCTGATTAGTTATTTTTAGCACGAAGAAGATTCTTGAGAAAGTCATTTGGGTGGACAAGCAGTAAGCAGGGAATCGTTAATTTGAAAAAAAGGCGAGCTCTGCATTATTGTTTGTCGCCAAGAGTGCGATCTTTTAGCGGCTACTTCATGAAAACCCTGGCTAAGATAGACGAATTGTCCCCCTCGCTGTGCTGTTGTCGAACTATATTTTAGTATTTCGTTATTGTGCAATATGAACGAGTCCGGCAAGAGGATGGGGTATTTTTCTGAGCTCCTGGCAATTTTTATAGGGGGTATTTTTTGAGCTCCTAGCATTTTTTATAAGTTCCTGTACAGCTGCAGAAGGTACCAGTTTCCTCCCAGGGAAGGAATTTCCTGGGTAATTGAATCGATCCCTCCGTTCAGAAATGGTTTGCAAGTCTTTAAGAGCGATCTACCCTAGTAATAGTCGTTTTCGCACTTCCCTCCTTATCTTCTTGCTTGTTTTCTTATTTCCAGACGCTACGTTCTCATAAGCACCACTTTCATGACCGGAGTTGGCGTATTTTTTGTCATAATAGCAAGTTTTCCTATTTTGATACTCATAGATTCAATTCGTGCACTAAAACCAATTCTAAGCTTAACTAATCTTTTGCTAAAAACCATTTTTTGTTTCTGCTTCTGTGGCTTAGCAGTTCCATGTAGTAACTTTGTAGTGTTTTGACTAGTGCTGGTGTTCGCAGCAGTTCCGGTGAAACTCAATTCAGGAAGCTTAGCGAATTTAATTGCTTTGCATGCTCACGAGCGACTTTTGTTGAGTGCAAAATCGCTGGGGGCGCAGTTCGGCTCGGTGGGGCATTGAATAGTGCTCAGTCGAGCTTGTACAGGCCACCTCGTAAAGACCTGTGAATCTTGAAACCAAACTTTCGATCTGGAGCAATTTCGCAGCTTCACAGGAGTTTACAAGTCTGACCAAAGTGAGACCTGTCAATTAACACGATCTAGCAAAAGGATTTGGCGAAGTACAAAATGCCCCCCCCAAGCCAAACAGCGACCCGCCAAAAGTTCTTTTCATGTAGCTTTATGCATGTAAAGCTTGCATGGATCACTCAGTGCGCTTTTGATTTCAGCTGCCAGAATAGGAAGCGAACGACTTCGCAAAGGTTCATCATCCTCGTTGGACATCATTGCCGAAACAAGTCATGAGTTTGCGTCCTTACCGAGCACCGATCAGAGCCATCGGAAAAACGCTGATGTCGAGCCAGCTGTTATTACGACATCGAAAAACACTGATCACAACCTTCAGCAAAGAGATGACTCTGGGCAATTTTCATCGAAAGAATCAACACCGGCCAGTGTTCGCTCAGACACCAATCTAGTCACATCAACCCCGATGCCTTCTGGTGACGCTTCTGACGCTTTATCACAATTGCACCTGTCGTGTATCCAAAATCCAGCCTCTGTAAGGCAGATAGCATCGGATTCTGATGAAGAGTTTTTTGACGCTTCCTCTGAGTTTGTCGACGCTTGGCGGGAACCATCGATGACATCTTCACTGCATGAAGATCAGCTCAACGGCAATGGCATGCTGCCGGATGATTCGGGTCAGTGGTGTTTGGTGGTTGTTTTCTAAACTGTAATAGCTGTATGTAGTGAAGTACTTTGTGAAGTGTGCACCGCGATTGGTCTTTCAATTTTTTTTTCTCAAGTATCTTTCTCAAGGATACACTGTACAATTACCTGACAGGCAACTTCTTTCTATGTGCGAGAGTAGCAGGTTCGCAGTTGTATAGGTGCAGCACCTCGTTCATTTAAAAGTGCACGCCAATAGGAGTTCATTCATTCTTTGCATCAGCATTTTTAGCGTACCGGGTTTTGAGCGGTTGGAGAAGTATAGGTATCAATCTAGCGTTTTAAGCCAGCGCTTGAGGTGTACGTCAGCGCCACGCTTTAAAGGTCAGATACATGCATAACAGTGTGGCGTGTTGCGTGTGCAGGTGGCGTACACGTCGCGTATCAGATACGCTAAGAACACCAGATCAACACTCCCAGAAGCAGAGAAGCAGCTATACTTTCAACGTTCAGAGCGCTGAAAGTGTAAACGCTTTTCTGAGCGAAATTCTGTTGCTATCAGGAAGTTCTCTTTGTCTCTGCTCGCCGTTTTATATTCGAAATGCGTATCATACGCCACACTGTCAGACAAACGCACATCGGTATGGCGTTGCTACTCTGCGTCAGCGCTCTGAGCGAACAGCGTAGACGCTTTCCACTAGCCGCTTTTTCGCAGCGTGTGTATCGCGTCAAAACGGCTGAATCGAGTACCTATGTTGTATAGTCACTGGAAGCACTATCGTAGGCTCGAAACGCTGACGCATAGCATGAACGCACACTTAAGCCATACATATGCTTGTGCTGTCTTGTCTGTTATTCAACAGGCACGCCACACGCCGTACTGTCAGGCATATGGTATGGCGTGTGGCGTGGCTGTGATGTGCGCGTTGCTCATCATGTAAATGACAAAGCTATCAAAAAGCTTAAGTTGTAACGAGCCTCTAGCATTATCGCCACGCTTTTCGATTAGCGGGAGTGCATGTTTTCCTCTGCTGCGGTCCTGCTCACTGTACACTCCGAAAAGACTCACCTCTCTGATAATCGTACAATGTGTCTTTGAAACACTTTGCTGAATTGAGGGCGGTTGTTGGGTTCTCAGTTTGTTTTTCCTCTTTGCTTTTCTTCCTGCAGTGATATCCTGAAACAGTTTTCTGTTGCCTCAGAATTAAATCACACTTCACAAGCCTTTAGAGAAGTGTTCTTACGAATTTCACTGAATACGAAAGTTTCGAGAATTCTTTCTTCGCAGGAATATCGGTTGTACGAAACTGTATGACACAGTCATTAATGAAGGTGGAAGAAGAGGCGCCTGCGTCTCAGCTCATCGTACAAACAACTGGTGCCGGTAAACCAGCAAGGTGAGGCTTGAACCGCTGAATTTTTCTACTATCGCGTTTATGTTTTTTTCGAACCTGCATTGCTTAAGTTGCCCGTTGCGATTTCAAGGGCCAGCAACTACCTCCCCCAGGCCACACAATCTGACAATGTGCGTTTTGTGGGCCAGGTTTATGTACATTCGGCTAGATTCGGACGGAGAGAGAGATATAATTAGAGGAGATAGATAGAGAGCCCTATAATAGAAAAACATTATAGATAAGTATAGTGTGAAATAGACATATGAGGGAACGCAACAAAGTCGCCAAGTTTCATTTAAAAACTACCTGCATAAACGAAAATCTCGCCACCTGAGGGACCTGAGGGAGTCGAATCATTAGCCTATCGTTTATCCTTAACTTTGATCCTTCTCAAAGAAAAAAGAAGCCGCCGCTTCCCCTTGCATTTAGAAATAAATATATAATAATAGAGAAAGAGACCAGAAGCCCACCTCCTTGCAATATGGCGAGCGCAACATAAAAGAAGTAGAAGGACAGCTTCGTCAGGTTTAAGTGCGAACGTAGATTGTGCCGCTGCCCCCACGCTGAGCAAAACAGACCAAAACCTTAACAGACGGAAGGAGATCACGACCTCTGCGTAGAAGAGAGATGTCAACAAGTAAGCCAGGTGGAAATGTTCGTTGTTTGAAGGCTTGCTCAAAGGACAATCCTGTACACTCACGCCAACTAATATGGATCCTGGTGTAACAACTGTGTGAGGTGAATAAGTCCGAGCGCAGTAAGCCGCTGCTATCTCTCCAAAGTGCTCGGGACGGAGGCTGGAGGAAGTGGTTTTCTGGTGCCGTCTCCATATTCCGTCCTCAAGATAGAGAAAAGAAATAAAGTGGACGCTTAACCATAAACACGCGCTCGCTCTCGATCTCCGCTTGTTCTGTGTGCGCTGGCCTGCGTGCTTCCACCGGCGAAACCCTTGGACTACATTCTTCGTATGAATCGCAATACATTGAGGATAGCGCGGCAACAGTGTGAAAGAGAAGAATAATAGAGATCATACAAACAACTAGATATAGAGAGATTAATAATATAGATATAGAAAAGCATGAGACAGATAGCGGCTGAGGGAACGAAACACAACAGATAATACATACTAGGACATACTAAGAAGGAATCATAGAGAGTGAATAGAAGATGAGATAATAGATATAGAACTCTAGCTTTTGTGTAGAAAAAGTGGCACAGTACAGCGGCTGCGGACCCATTCACCTGGCCTATAGAAGGAACCGTCCTCGGACGTCAGTGTGCAGTTTGCCTCTGAACTCTACTAAGATCAGCTGCCGTTCGTTTTATGAGCGTCTCATTGTATATTCATGATCCCTGCAAATGATTCGGGGGTGGGGCGGGTGTGGTGGGCGTGGATCGGACCGAAGTCTGAGCCGGTTTTCCCACCACTGATGCCTTCCTGAGTCCGCAACCATTAGCAAAAAGGCTGTGATGCTGCGCTTCTATTCACGCCCCTTGACGCGCAGGGATTAGTCATCACCGAGACCCCAAATGAGCGAGAGCTCATGTAGTGGTTAACAGCACGGAAAATTTCTAAATATCTGCATTGGTTGATTTTTTTCTGCATTAGGTAATTTTTTCAGGGCAAGTTCTGTCAGTCCAAGACCGACGACTACGTTCACAGCGGAGACCAGGCCAGTTCATACAACAGTACAAAACACTGTTCATACGCATTCAATACCATCGAAAGGTTCCGCGGAAAGTATCGATCAAGTTGGTTTTTTTGAGCCATATTCTTGCCATTCCATCGTATACGAAAAATATTACAGGTAAACCCTTGGTAGGTCTTTGCTTCTTGACTTCAGCGATTAGCAGTTGATGGCATTGTTTGACTAATGCACATTACTAATATGGAATTTTTGGGGCGAAGGTAATTGGGGGTCATGCGGCGGCGCGGCTGCAATGCGTCATGTCTTGTCTCAATATGGTACCGCCTTGTTGTTTTGGCTCGCAGTAGACAAATGCATAATTTTCGTATTTGCAATCTATTTGCAAAATGCTCGGATCCATTTTAGAACCGTTTTCGACACTTCCTCGATGAGAGAACGCAGGCAGGCAGACATGATGTGGCATAGTCGCGCCACGGGCACCAATCTACCTTTGCCCCGTATTTTCGTACGATAGCACATAATTGTTTAACATAGAAACGTGGGCGAAATTCGGCTTGCTGGGAGCACCAAATGGTACCTAGCGAAGCTTGTGCAGATCAACTCGTGGAGACCTGTAAATTCCTGTTAGCAGACCGACTCACAGTTATCAGCTTAGCAAGAGTTTACAGGTCTCACAAAAGTAAGACCTATTATCAAAGAAGAATTAACCAAAGGAGCTAGCGGTGTGGAATGAAATGCCCCCTACAAGCCGAACACGCCGAAATGTAATCATAGAATCCTTGGTTTTGGTGAATGATAGGATTTTCGTTAACTCCGTTGATTTCACTCAACTTTGTAGCCACGCAGTTATCCGTCCACGATAACACCAGTTTCATCACGTTCTCGAGCATCTACTGCCAGTAGACAGCAAACGAGAGTTTCACGACCTACCTCGGCCCTGCGACCGCAGGCTAATCATCATCGTACATCCGCACATGTGGCTTCTCCACTGACCGTCAATCAAAGCCACGGAGGGTCGTCCAGTGCACGTGTGCCTAATCCAAAAGCACAGGTTCGCAAGGTTTTGGGTTCTTACTAATTTGGCAGCTAACTTGCAAAACGTACTAATGCTTTCATTTTTTTCACCTGCTTAGCTAACACGGCTAAAATTCCTAATATTGACTTATTTTGGAGTTGTTTTATCATGATAACTGCTGTTCAGCGTGCAGTTCGCGCTCCGAGGCTGCGTTTATACTTTGCGTCAGCGTTTCGAGCAAGTGGAACAGTGTAGATATCGATCTGGCGTTTTGAGCTTACGCCAACTTTTCAGCGACTGCCCACAAAATGTTCAAAACGCTACCGTACGCTTGCGATAGCCGTTAGATGGTTGGCCTGTAATTCGCTTTAGTCGCTTGAAACACTCCAAATGCCGACGCAAACTATGAACGCACTCTGAAAGTTATCACAATATGCTGAGTTATGGGCAAAGGTCTTGACCTCAGGCGGGACTCGAACCAGCACCTCATGTTTCCGTGGCGAGTGTGCTTACCGTAACGTGAGAACGCTCGTCAGTGAGTGTCGTGAGGTCAAGACTTTTGTCTATAGTTCAGCATTCTTGTGGTGAAAAATTGTTAATTTTGAGTCTTTTTCTAATATTCATCCGAGAATTTAATGATATTTATCCGAGAATTTGAGAATTCATGTCAGTTATGAAGTTCTCATGAAACGTTTTATTGTCGTATGAACCAATGTTCGGTCTTTCTGACCGTGGCATGTAACTACACCTCATAACTTGGAGTTGAGGAGAGCGCGGCGCCGTACTTCATTTGAACATGGCGCTGGATGTGTATTTCCATTTGTGGCAGCTACCCTGTTCGTAATTAAAAAGACATAGTTACAATCATCCCAGAAAAACAAATAGTTCAGCTAGACTTGTATTTTTTTTTCTCCCTAATCTTTAGTTAGTTTCGTCCTTGGTTTATTGTCCTTGTTCTCCTTTCGTTTCTTGTTTTTTGTTCCTTTTATCGGAGATGTAAGTGGTCTTCCCACTAAGGTTACTTCACGCCCTTTATCTAGATCATGCCCCTCATCTTTACATGCCTCACTACCCTGCCAGTGATTACCTTCTGCTCTTATACCATTATCCATTATGTCGGTCCACTCCTCGACGTGGGATGTTGGCATACCCGTGTTCCGAAGTTCCGACATTATGCCTTCATCCTATCGGTTGGAGGACACCATGGCCAACTGGTGAGGATACTGGTTAACAACTGGCGTTTCTGTCCGTTTTCGGCCCTAAGATCTTTATCAAGAGGCTTGTATGAACAGACACAGGGGCTATTCCGATTCAATTCTACTCCGACCTAATTCTCCTTATGTATTCTAGGCACTGGGCGCGCTTCTTCTTCTTCTTAGTGTGTATTTTGACCACCTACATCTCCACCCTGGTACCCTTGCAATCTGCTCCTTCTTGGTATTCTCTTTATGGCGCACTCATCTGAGTGTAATGAAATAAATAAATAAAGTAAGTATTGGGGGGGCAGTGTTAGCGACTCTACGTTTGCCTGCTTAATTCGTGTTTCGAGCCACCAAGAAGAGATATGTGAGACCTTGTGAAGCCATGAAGTGATACCAATCAGGATTTGTAGAAACTACTTGTCAGCTCTTGCAAAGCAATGAATAACATTAGTGGGGAGGGCGGTGCGAACGAGTGCAAATTTCCCATATCATCCCAAACTACACGGCCATATCGTCGAAGCGATAGACTCAAACCGGCTCTCCCTGAACCGTGCCGGGCTTTTTCGCTAGGACCGTATAAGCTCATAAGCTCTGTGTTTGCTTGGAAATTTGCCATTATCTGTGTTTGCCATCGTTAGGCCCCCCCCGCTGGCCAACTTCACCCGAAAATATCCCACCATAAGTACAGCGGCCGCATTCGAATGAAGTACGTGGCCCAACCCTTTTCCCGAGAAATGGAATGTGTGTTATTTTCTGCCTCTCAAGATTTGTTGTGATGGCATACAGTCCCTCACATCATTCGCGGAAGGTGGGGCCGTGCCAGCGCCGAAGGAAGCGCACACCTTGTGTGAAGCCGGTCCCAGGTTCCAAGCCTTTTTGATTTGCACACGACGTAATCGGCGACAACAAAAGTGGTAGAAAACGAGTGATAACGGAAGGATCAAGAGTACACATGCAGTTGCACGCTCTCAAATATCTGTGCGAGAACGATTTGCCCAAACCGCACCAAAACGCAGCCGCACTGACGGTACCCTGCACCTGAGTTTGTCCATCAATGATGAGGACTGTAATTGATCCAACCAAATAGTTGCTGTCGAGGCCTGATATCAGCGCAAAAATCTATCTATTACTGCAATAACTTCGTAAACACGCCCTATCAATTCTAAGGCCAAGTCAGCAACGAATCTGCCAGCGAGTTTCGACAAAGGTTGGTTAAGCCAATAACGCGAGCAACCTAGCTACGGTATTTACCAAACGAGTGCCTCACATCCGACCAGACACTTTGAATACCTCGTAAATGAGACACCATTGGGGAAAAATGACATTACGGACAATAAGGGTGTTGACAGTGCGGTAGAAATTATTAACGACTATGTATTAAGTTGTTCCCGGAAAGTTCTCTCATAGCGTTTTTGTGGCACCCTAATTTTTTGTACATAGTACTGCCTAATTAAAACTCATCTGCCTGCTTCTTCAGCAGTACACTCCTGTAGAGAATTTCTTGCGTTATCTGATGGTATAATTGCCCGTTTCACCTATTGCCTTAATAAACCCCTTTTTTCAAGATTTTTCAAGCATGTGAAAAGAGCACTTCGGACGTTTTTTCTTCGACTATAAATTGGGGCAATCCGCAATCGAAACAGCTCAACAAATTAACCAGGTGTGGGGGCCCAATAGTGCTAGAGAAAGCACTGTGCGGCAATGGCTCAACAAATTTCGTTCTGGAGATTTCAGCCTTGAAGGTGAACCTCATAGCGGTCGACCTAAAGCAATATCTGACGAGGATTTTAGGGGGATTTTGGAGGCTGACCCATCCCAAACAGTTTGAGAGATAGCAGAAGAGCTAGGCCTTAGCAAACACATCCACTGTTGCAAGATGGATCTGGAACAGCAATTGGGAAGGTGGAAAAACTAACACTGGGTGCCCCGCCCCACAATTGAAGTGACCGGCAGGAATCGGCACGTCTCGAGGTTCCTTCTGCATTGCGCAGCAGAAACGACCTGTTTTTAGGCCGAATTGTCACCTGTGATGAAAAATGGGTCATGTATGATAACAGGAGACGTTCCGGACAGTGGTTGGATTTTGACGAACCACCGAGGTAATTTTCAAAGCCGAACCCTCACGAAAAAAGATTCTGGTCACGGCTTGGTGGTCATCGGCTGGTGTGATCCACTATAACTTTATCACCAGGCCAAACCATCACAGCAGAACCCTACTGTGAAGAAATCGACGAAATGTACCGAAAATTGACAGATCAGCCAACTTTATCAAAAAGAAAGGGACATTGGCAAAAGTGTGCTGATTCGAATGGTGCCTATTTCGATTAAATCCGATGAGTATTAAAAAAGTTACGATCGTTTAAAGTGAAACACCCAAAACGAGAAATTTTCCGGAACATCCGAGCTATGTAATTTCGCTCATGATGTCCCACTGAAGAGCTGCTCAAAGCGTCGAGCTGGGGTTCAGCGCTGATGGAAACGTGGTAAGGTGTTTTCCCGTTGGATTCATTACTTCTTTTCAAGCCTCAGGGAATGGTTGCTACTGGCTTAGATACGGGTTTTGACCGAGGATATTGCAGATAAAACCTATCGAGCCATTAAAGGCCACTGACGCAATGGTTCGGTTTAAACATCAGACAGCAAACAGAGCCATCTAATAAGCCTTCTATGGCATAAGACCATACAAACATGATGTATCAATAAAATGGAACATTATGCGCTTGTTGTGGCCTCCAATTTTTTTTAGTAAATCCGTTTTTAAGCTACTCCAAGCACTGATCTCTACTCCGACTGCAAATAACAAGAACAGAGATCGGAACAGTAATATACAGCAAACGGTGAGCTTTTTCTACTCTCGAGAACGGTGTAGTCTCAGTTTTTTTGATGAATTTCTCTTCAGCCTGATCACTTGAACTCGTTAAACAATCGCCCGGTGTCGGCACCACGTCCTTCACCTCAGGCGGGCACTGATATACCAGACTTAGCCGCTTTACAGGAACTAGCTAGACAACAGGAGGAAGGTAAGCCATTTGTAAGGTCTTCTGTAAGAGCATTCAGACTTCGCGATCCGATCGCTAGAGGTCGATCTAAAAGCTGGGGTATGAGGTGGAGAGGCGGGCCTTTAATGGCACCTCCCGTATCCATTTGGTGGGAGGCGTCGTCCCTGGACAAGGTAGACCTGTCTGCAAGCATAGTGTGTGCATTGCTTCCGCGGTAAAAACTCGTTATAACGACACCTCGAAGGCAATGCCCCGCCCACTGCCCCATGCTACACCCAACGTTTATGTTTGGAAGCTCCTGTCCCGCTTGTAAATCTTCCCATTCCTGAATGATGAGAATGAGGTGTCGAGTGCAAAGAACTGTTACCGTTATGATGGCAACAAAAGGGAATTCGTCCAAGCACGCCTTTCTTTGCTGTATACTTGTAAAAGCTCGGTTCGGCTGGGCATGCGGGGGAGTTCTATCAGAGGCATCTCCGATGGTTTTTTTTTCGATTATCGACTTATTTGCTACCTTGACTTATTATTCTTTTATCCACCACTAATATGCAGAACACGGACGCTTACGACTTGCGAGACTTGTGCTGCCGATTTGATGGATTTCCACCACTGGCCTCGCGGGTACCACTTCCCTCCCTGCTCCACGTGAAGGACCTCCTCCCCATTTGGCACTCACCTTGAACCACACCCCTCCCCGACCGCCACTCACATTGGCCACAATTTTTTTTTGCCAGGAGTTAGTGGTGGAAATGCACAAGTCGCAGCATAAGTCTCGCAATTATCCACCACTGTTGATCGCGTGATGTGCCTTGAGGAAAATAATAGTTGAAGGTGTGGGGATGGACAGTTGGCAGCGAAAAAGGCTGCACCTTTGGCAAGATGTTCACCACGTAACATTCCTCTCCATTATTCAGCCAGAGCCGCACACAGAGCACAGTCTGCGTGCTCAGGTCGCATAGAAGCAAACATCGTCGCAGAGCGGAATACTGTCTAGTTCGTTGTAGATGCTGGGGCGTGTCAGAGGGGCTGGGTTTGGCGCGGCGCCACCCAGTTTCTACCAATTGTTGTCGCTTTTTCACTCGAACAGTAGGGGACATTCTGGCGCTGTGCCAAAGCCGGCGCCCCTGACAAGCCTCGGCATCCGTAGCGAACAAGCATAAACCTTCCACTCTCAACTATTAGCATGGCGCCAGAATCAAATTTGAAGAATTCACTGTCGACGCTTTTCTGTTTCTTGTCGAATGTGAATGTTCCGTGGTTCAGCTCTACGACAAGCCGTGGAAAGGCAGCAGCATGGTAATATAGAACGTAAGCATTCTTGGCAAAACGATTCTACTTCGGTGAGGCATTCTAATGGCTTCTAAGCTCTTTGAAACTCTTTCATTTTCATGTGAATTTTATGTCAATTTTTGCTTTTTAGAGAAGTATGCATTCATCGGCTGGTTCACTTGTTAGTAGCAAATCTGCGGATATGTCAACACTTCACAGGGTGAATGCGAATCCAGTATCGGTAAGAGTGACTTATATAGACCCAGTTTTTTTCACTAAATATTCGTTGTTCTAAGGAAATTCTGGTGTTATTCGGCTTGGTGGGAGCACTAAACAGTGCTCAGCGAAGCTTGTACAGGCCACCTCTCGTAAACCTGTAAACTCTTGTTACAGAATGGCTCAATTGTACCATTTTGCAGCTACAGACGAGTTTACAGGTCTGACCAGAGTAAGACCAGTTGCTTGAATGCAAAGTCCCTCCTCTCCTCCACCCTCCAAGCCGAATAGCGCGGAAAATTCTTTCCAAAGTTTGTGTTGAAAAGCGTCATGTGGTGATGGATCAACTTTACTAGTACCCTGCCTTCATTTTTTGCCCATAGTGCCGCATCTGACTTTTTT